ACTGGTGTTTATGATTATGGGACTTGTTTTCTTCGGCTATTCTTTTAATAACAAATGCTATTTAGTCTAAGTATTCTCCACTTCTCTCTCTCCCTTTAACTGGATTGCAATGGAAGTTTTTTCTTGTTATGGTTTGCTGTTGTCGAAAGAAAGCCAAAATGCTGTTAATCTGTATGATGCAAATAGGATTTACTTTTTAAAGGCAAAGTACCTGTTTTTATTTCCTAAGTATTTATTATTACTCATTTGATATTCCTCTTGTAAAGCAGTATTCATGTAGTTTCTTTCTTTTTAAACGTACAAATCTATTACATGTTTATTGTGGAACATTCCATGAATGTGTATAAACAAAAATATGAAAATAGAAGACGATTACAGCTCCCCCACCTTGATAACACAACTAGTATCTTGCTATATATTCTTTGAATTTTTCCAGTTATATGTGCATGTTTATGGGTGTACATGCATATTTATACATGAATACACATACATTTACACAAATGGATTTATTTAACAAATATATTTTCATAAATGACTATATTTTATAACCTGCTTATTTTACTTAACAAATTGTGACTATTTTCCATTAAATTTGTTTTAATATTATTCTTAAAGACTACTTAATTACTCATCAAACTGATTTATCATAATTTTACAAATTGTGTATTATCGGACATATAAAACACTTCTTATTTTCTCTATTTTAAACAGTGTAATGATGAGATGAGCATCTTTTTAAAACTATCTCTTTGTAAATATACAGGATTTTTTTTTCTAGTGGACATTCCTAGAGTTGGAATTGCCAGACCAAACAGTATATGTCTCTTTTAAGGGTTTTGATTCTCATTGTTAAATTGCTCTCCAGAAAGGTTGCACTTAAAAAGATATTATAAGCCTTACCTTTTTCTCCAATGTCTTAAATGATATATTTGAGAATTCCATTATCCAAGAGCCCGTAAGGAATATTTGTAAGGACACATTAAAAGTTAGTACATTATATGTATGTGCACACCGAAGTTTCATTATTAAGTGTTGAGGTAGCTGAATCACAACTAAATAGAATTGAATTCATTAGACATCTGAGAGATTAGTTAGCTGGTAACAGAACAATAGTAAGTAAACTGACATTCTAATCTAAAAAAATGACCGGGGAGGGTTGGGGGGCGGGAGTTGGGGTAAGAGATCAACCAAAGGACTTGTATGCATGCATATAAGCATAACCAATGGACACAAGACCACAAGACACTGGGGGGTAGAGGAGGCCGGGGAATGTCAAGGGGGGGCGGGGAAAGGAGACATATATAATACTCTTTGTAATACTTTAAGCAATAAAACAAAATTAAAAAAAAATAAGGAAAATGAATATTGTAGAATTTTCTGACTCCAGGAGTTGGCAACTATTTATTTTGGGAGACTGTAGAGGTGGTTTTTATAAGTTGATAAGAATAGCATATTGTTTTCTGTGTTTGGGGTGATGGAAGGGACTCAGGTCAAACAGGCAGCTACTACCTTCACGGTGCCTACTGGGTTCATTGTTTCTGTATTTAGAGAGCCTTTGGTGCTAGTGCCTGCTTCTTCCTTCCTGGAGCTGTGCAATACTAGTCAGTGCATACTGCCCCACAGCACTCAAAAAAAAAGTAGCAGAGCCAGGCTGCATTGACAAGAAAGCCCCTTTACAGTAGGAAGCAGCTGGAAACAGGAGTCTGCAGCTGGCGTGCACGGTGTCACCGGAGGAAGGATCCTGACGGCGGCTGTGGAAGCTCTGGCAGGACGTGGCCCAGGAAGAGGTCCGAGCGCCAAGAGCAAGAGCAGAGGGTGGAGCCCACACACACTTTACAGATGTACTGGGGAAGGGAATCCCACTAGTTTTGTATTCCACCTTCAAAAGAGTACTCATGTTTTCCAATGAAATGTTCACATTATTTAAAAAGAGCCCATTTACAAGAAGTATCCTTACAGAAATGAAATACCAGCACTTTTAAAACATTTTATTTAACCTGCATTGAATACCCTTGACATGCTGAAATAGTTTGGACAGCTTTTTATTTTGTGACTGTTGTCTTTCTAATAATGATGAGATTGATATTCTGACTAATTAATATACTTTGTTCATTTCCTTAGTAAGAAAATTATTGTTGCTTAAAAGTGCAACTAGCTAAAAATTGCTAAATGATCTTATTGGTAAATAACATGCTACTATACTGAATATCATAAAATGTGAGGCAAAGCATATTTTATTCCAAGTTTAACTTATAAGGGAGAAAGTGACTATTTGAAAATCCATAAGTCATTTGGGCCACTACTTTAAAATTGACAGTCAGAAATCATAATACATACTTGTAAAGACAATTTAGGTGCACTGCTGCTATACTATGCCCCTGAAAAAATAAAAATTGTTATAGCAGTGGAGGAATAGGTCACCGGTCTGTGAAGAGGTTGAGACCCAATAACACTGAGTATCGTATCCAAGATCTCAGGCCTGGCCATAGTTAAAGTAATAATTAGGCTGCTCTGCTGTGGTGAATTTGAAAAACATCTCCATAAAGCAGCGATGGGCTTCTGAATGTGAAAATAGCCAAAAATAGAAACATCCTGCTTCTATAAATTGGGTTGGGATCCAGGATATCCTGTTGGGGAAAAAAAAGAGCATTTACTTCTCCAAAAATATACATGGCCAATGTATTTGTTAGTGTGCAATCTATGAGAATCAGGAAGGGGGGAAAAAAGGAATTCCAAGTTACAAGAGAAGATGAGAACTGGGGAAAAATGATGTGAAAGTACTATCAGTAGCTATCACTTTAGTAAGCTTATTCTGTACTTGGCCTGATAGTGCTGTCACTGGAGAATCCAATTCCTCCCTTGCTCGTGGGAGTGGGGTTCAGGTTCTTGGGGTACCACTGAAATAAGAGTTTTCAGAAGCCCTGCAGGCGAACGAGATGTGGTAAAAGGCTTTGTTTGTGTGGCGTTACATTTCTTGGATTCTAAAGTCCCATGCCTCTTAGACCAGCCCCGAGAGAGCCGGGCCTCCAGTAGCGCCCAAAGCAAGGCCGCAAGGCTGGTGTTGAGAGCTTCTGTTGCATGTGGCAGCCGGGTTCAACTACTTAAAGTCCCTTAGTCCATTGAGTGGGGACCCACATGGCTAACCTCCTGTAACAGGAGTCAAGGGGGAGGAGGGGGAGGAGGATGGGGACCCACATGGCTAACCTCCTGTAACAGAGGAGGAGGAGGAGGAGGAGGAGGAGGAGCTCATTTGTTTGTTTCAAACATTAAATATTCATGTTTCACATGCTTGCAGTGACCACGCCTACTCTGGCCACTGACTAGCTCCCAGGTGTGACTGAGAGGCAGGTAGGCACATTCCCAAGTCATTCAGACCTTACTGGGCATGCTTCCAAATTGCCTTTGTCCAGTTCCTTCCTTCATCCATCAGCAGGGAAGAGACTTGGAGAGCATTAAATTAGCAAAGCTGTATAAATGGCATATCTATATTATCTAGTCTTCCCTTTACTCCTCCCCTGTTAATAATAACCAGGTTATTATAACAGTATCAGAGTTACCATATGAAATCTTGCCACAAGCTCTGAATCATAATACCACCAAATGGGAATTGGTCAGATTTAAACTTTTGATTTCCTATGTAGTAGAAGTCCTCTTATCTTCCATGGTTTGCATACATTTTGGGGCATTTAATTGAACTAATTAGACTGACAGTCAATGGATGTTTAGTATCATGGGTAAAAGTTTTAGGGAGGAAACCCAAGGGGTTGATTAATCCTATAAATTGCTTAGGAAGAGAGGTCCAAATACAACCCTTGTGACACTGGATTCTGTAACACTACGCCTAACACATTTAGGTTAAATTTACATCCTAGGGGGAAGTATTTATTGTACAATAAAAATTTGCATTCAACCTTAAGTACAATCAATAAATATATTTCCATTTCTGTGATATGTGTCCTTGTTAAAATGCGTAGTGACGTGAGAAACACTGATTGTTTTTCCGGAGATGACCTTGAACTAATACCATCAGCTGATGTTCAAGTTCCATTTTTGAACTTTGTACTATACGACCTTTGCCTACAGTGCAGGAACTGTATGTTTGAGGGTGGGACTATGAGACACTATGAGGATAGGGCTCTTTATGGCCTGTGCCTTCCCATGAAAGACAACCAGTGAATATTTATTAAATCAGCGGAAGTAGGGTAGATTTGTGATTTTCAAACCAGGTTTCTGAAGCTATAGAAGAGCATAAGGACTACTGCAGAATTGGGACCAATGGCCATGATGACTAGCTGAAAGCTTGGTGGATGAGGCTCTAGAGAAGTGAATCTACCCTGTATGAGATTCGTGGTCTAGAAATTTTGACATTTTAAAATTTTAGTCATCAGAATTAAACTGCAAAGTATACTTTGTTTTTCTGAACTGAAGTTCAGAGTGGCTGGTACACTGCGAAAGGTTACACAGCTTTTATAACTGATGATCTTGGGTTTGGACATAGAACTGATTGTAGTATTACACTTTTAGTCCATTTCTCTGCAATAATATTATGAATATGGAGAAGGAAAGATGCATGTTCTATGTAAATCAGGCCCATCAGGTCTTGCTTTGTTTGTTTGATAGTAAAAGATTTCTGCTTAGTAATACTAAAGATTATTTAGTCACATGTGGATTTGAACCAGGCTCTACCTGTTTGACTATTCAGATAGTCAAAGAAGTAACTAATTATTTCTTAATTTTCTAATTTGTAAAATAGGATTAATAACAGGTTATTGCAGAGAGCAAATGTATAATACATGTTATGTGCTTTGAACAATATCTGTCACCTGTAAGAACTTCATGTATTCACTTGTTTGGTATCTGTGTCTCTATTCTGGAAGATGTAATCCTGAGTTAAGTGTAATACTCAGAATAGATTGGTATTGTGTTTAGTATTCTTTCTATTATATATTCCTTTTTGCTTATATATTTATTTAACTTTATTATATGTAATGTCATTTCAGGTTCCTATATGATAGTGGACTCTTCAGACCACGACCCTGGAGAAAAAGCCAGACTTCAGCTGCCTACAATGAAGGAGAATGACACGCACTGTATTGATTTCAGTTACCTGTTATATAGCCAGAAAGGGTTGAACCCTGGCACTTTGAACATATTAGTTAGGGTGAACAAAGGACCTCTTGCCAATCCAATTTGGAATGTGACTGGATTCACGGGTAGAGATTGGCTTCGGGCTGAGCTAGCCGTGAGCACCTTTTGGCCCAATGAATATCAGGTAATCATCCTTTCTCTTCTGGTTAATGCTTTGATGTCATTGGCTCTCACCATGTATATAATGCTCAGATGTAAATATTAGCCCCATAGAAATGTAAGGTTGTTCATCTAACCCTCCCCTATCCCTTTCTTGAGCAAATGTTTGAATACCTTGGCACAAAATCTTGAAAAATGGAGAAAAAGCATTCCATCTATAGGAAAAAAGTAGTTCAGGTACAAAATTTTTTGGTTGTTTGGCAAAAAGCTACTTATTGACAGATATATTTCTGTGTTTCTGTGCAGGAAGAAATAGTGTTTTTTATTTGAATGCAATATTCAGATGTGATTGGTTTACTTGCTTCTTGAAAATAACATCTGGAAAATAAACATGAAATAGTGTTTCATGAAATAAGTTATCTAAAAGGGAGGCAATTTGAATAATTTTGTCAGTCACATGAAGAATAAAAATAAGTAAACAGTTCTGGCTAGGTGGCTCAGTTGGTTGGAGCATGGTCCCATCCATATATCAAAAGGTTGAGGGTTTGTTCCTGGTCAGGGTACATACCTAGGTTACGGTTCGATCCCTGGATGGGGCACGTATGGTAGGCAAGAGATTGATGTTTCTCTCTCACATCGAGGTTTCCCTTTCTCACTGGCTCTTTTTCTCCCTTTCTCTCTCTCTCTCTCTCTCTAAAACATCAATAAAAATATATCCTCTAGTAAGGATTAAAAATTTAAAAAAGTAAGCAAACGAAATAAGGAAAGCTGTCCACATGTCTTTGGATTCCTACCCCCCCCACAACCACCACCAAAACTTCATTTACAGGATCAGAGAGTTGTTCAATAATCCTCACTATGGCATTCAGTTCCTGGAAATAGAAAGTTACCTCTTTTGAAAGTTCACTTTTGTGTTAGAACTTGCGATTTAAACTTTTAAATGGCTTACTTATTTGTAGTTTGTTAGAGAGTTTAATGAGAATGTGTTTATGTAATAGTATATTTTGTAATGTTCAGTGAGTACTTTATAAGCTAAGAACAGTTTAATTTCTGTTATCTAAAAATTAACCATTTCTTCAGTTTAGGTTTGTCTTTATTCCCAATGAAGGGGAAAATTCAATGTATTGTTTTAATTGCTTTGTTTTGAGTTGATTTCCTATGTATTAAAAGCCTCTTACTTCATAGATGTTGCTCCACAGGTAAGGTTCTCTATTCAGGGTTATGTGTCTTTTGAGATTTCAGTGGGGTTTCATTAGGTAGTTGATTCCATTATTCCAGAATAGAAAGCTGTTTTTCTTCAGTCTGGGAGAGCCGGCCTCTTGGGAGGTCAGAGCTTTGGGAGGGCTGGATTGGTGGACTCATGCTCCAGTGCTGGAAGAAAGGCCAGTGGGCTCATCTCTGACAACAGGGGGCTCCTGGCTGGCCTTGCTGGGGCACCCTCACCATGCACTGTCATATTGACTTCAATAGCTGAAAAAAAGAAAAGGCTTTGATTCAGCAAAATAATACTGTCCACATATTCAGACTTCCTACAAGGCCCAAAGGACAAGTCTAGCAAAATGGTTAAAATTTTGGGTTCTAGAGTCATATTGCCTATAGTCAACCTTGATTGCTCTTTGCTACCTGTGTAGATAGTTGGTTAAGGAATTGAATTGTTGGTTGTACTTTAAAATAAAATCGAGTTTGATGAATCCAGCAAGTAATCTCTGTGGTATAATACTTCTGTTCCTTTGTGACTAAGAAATGACATGCATTGATTACTTTCCCCTTATTTTTTTCTAACATCTCCCTTTGAGTAATATACATTAATAACTCTTTGTATGGCCCAGATTCTGCAATATTAATTTTAATGTTGAGTCATAGTACCTAGAACTGGATGAATGCTTCTTTGTTCAGTCTTATTTTGCATGACAGAGCCCTCCAGTTTACATGTACCTGTCATGTTTAAGTCAGCAGGGTAAAAAGGTTCTGTGAAGGTTTCAACCTGGCCAGTGAGATCTTTTTGGAGATCTCTTGTCAGAGATAAGGACTGTGAGATATATAGAACCTGTGGGTAAATGCCGGTTGCAGATTGAAATTTGAGCCACAGATCATTTTTTAAGTGCTTACGTTGCTTCCACACATTTTCCCTTAACCTGCAAAACTTCACAATCAATGAGAGTGAATAGCAGAGTAGAACATTTTTCATGTGCTTAGTTAGTGCTCAATAAATTATTTGGTTGATGTTTTCATCGATTCTGTCAGTTAGATACGTATTTGTACCTGTACATCAGTTATTAGAAACAACCAGCTCAACACAAACTATATTTATGTTTCGCTATTAGGAAACAGCATGAAAACTTTTGACTACTGCTTAATGCAGAATCTTTATGGATTTTTTAAAAATGTAGCCATTGCAGTGGGTCATGCTAGCTGCTTACTCATTTTCATTCTTAAAGAAACACTGCTATTTTTTTTTTATTTTCCCCAGATTCTAGATTAAGTAAAGACATGCATAGAAATTATTCTCTTTTTTCCCATAATTTAACTCAATTTCTCTTTTCCAGAGAACTTACACTCTCCAAACTTCTTGAACCTTTTTTTATACTCTATTTTTTCTAATTCCTTCTCTTTTTTTTTTAAAAAAAAAATTATTTTATTGATTTTTTACAGCGAGGAAGGGAGAGAGATAGAGAGTTAGAAACATCGATGAGAGAGAAACATCGATCAGCTGCCTCCTGCACATCTCCTACTGGGGATGTGCCCGCAACCCAGGTACATGCCCTTGACCAGAATCGAACCTGGGACCTTTCAGTCCGTAGGCCGACACTCTATCCACTGAGCCAAACCGGTTTTGGCGACGCTACTAGATTTAATATGTGCTCAGAATTTTCGTTTTGAAATCATGCTATTTTTAAAATAGACTTCCTTTTTTTTTTAGGGCAGTTTTCGGTTCACAGCAAAGTTGAGAGGAAGGTACAGAGATTTCCCATATATCCTCCACCCCCACATATGCATAGCCTCCGCTATAATCCACATCAACCAACAGACTGGTATACAATGGAGGAACCTACACTGACATCATAATAGCTCAAAGTCTGTAGTTAATTTTAAGGTTCACTCTTGGTGTTGTACCTTCTAAGAGTCTGACAAATGCATGGCATGTATCAATCGTTATAATATTATACAGAGTTTTTTCACTGCTCTGAAAATCCCCCCCTGTGCTTCACCTAGACTTTCCTCCTCCTCCATGCTTTTCCTTTTAGGTTTTTTATTTATTAAAATGTCAACTTACTTGACACCTTATTAGCATGAGGTCAAACTGTTCTCACCCTTGGGTATACTGGGCATGCCCCTCTTCCTCTGAGCCTTACTGTCAGAGAGAATAATGTAAAACAGATGTGGAGTGTAGCCTTAAGGAGCCTAGTTATAGAAAATATTCTATTATGTTTGTTTTACTTGCAATGGTCACAAGATACTAATCCCGCCTATTTTTATAGGCCTCAAGTAAGTACTGTAAATTTTTAAATTGTTTACTAAATAGAAGTAAAATGGGGAAAAAAAATTATGAGGCATGATCTCGGTGTTAAATTTCAATGGAAGATCAGCATACCTCTAAAGTATAATTTTCTCCACTCTGGAAATCTGACCTGTCTAGTATGCGTAAACTAAGTTCTGGTTTGGGATTTAATCCATTAGTTTCTTACTGAACAGTGAGGTTGTTACCAAATGAGGCAGGCAGACATAACTTTCAAAACTATTAGTGGAAACCTAATCTGCTGTTTTCCATTAACTGGGTGCACGCCATTAATCACAAAAATGATGTGTGATGAAAACTACAGGGGTCTGGCCAGAAATTGGAAAAGTGATAATATAGCAGAATGCGCCTTAAAAAAACCCATAAAAAAACAAAACAAACCCTCCGAATTCACTGAGAAACAAATACTGAACCTTTGCCGCTCATTTTGTTAACGTTTTTCATTGGTCTGAAAAAATGTAAGAACTGGACGGCATGAGATTTTCTGTTTTTGTTTCCTTTCTAAAGGTTTACGTTCACGTGTCTTGGGCTGACATTTTGGCACTGGGATAATTATTACACTCCAGAGAGACTGCTGGCTTTGGACCTAGGCAGATTGGGACTTAAACCAAGGGACTGTTTATTTAAAAGAAAAGATCTCTAAAAGATTGGTCTCTGGGGACAAGGGCTGAAGTAAGAGCATGCTTATGAATCATCCATGCAAAATGTGAGGAAAAGTGGATATAATTTCTGTGCCATAGCTCTTGGAACTCTTCCAATTTCTACAGGTTGTCATTCAACCATGTAGAGTCCCACTGAAGAAAGAAGGATGGCTCTTTCTTAGATGGATTAGTCTGCTGGAGACCCTAACAGAATACTACAGACTGGGTGGCTTAGACAGCAGGAAGTCCAAGATCAAGGTGGAGGCTATTTGGTTCCTGGTGAGGGCTCTCTTCCTGCCTTGCAGTTGGCCACCTTCTCACAGTGTCTTCACATGGTGCAGGGAGATAGCTCTGGTGTCCCTGGCTCTTCCTATAGGGACACCAGGCCTATCAGATTAGGGTCCCATCCTTATGACTGCATTTAACTTTACCTCCCAAAGGCCCTATCTCCGAATAGTCACATTGGGCATTAGACTTTCAACATATGAGTTGGGAAGGGGGGTGATACAGTTGTGTTCATAACTCTAGATATAGCTTATAGCTGTAACTTCTTCATTTAGAAGCACTATAATGGACTCTGGCTTGTTATCTTGTATAACAGTGTTACAGATATTATTAATTTTCTAATCAATAGTCATTCTTCTCACTTTCTTCCACATTGGCAGGACCCCCACCTCACTTTCACAACTTCCTTTCCAGGTCAGGGTGGCCATGTGACACAGCTCTGTCCAGTGAGTTATGGGAGACCTTTGAGAAAGATGCTCCTCCCAGCTAAAAAGAGAGAGAGATACTATTACATGCGACATGGTCCTTGGAGCTACTGCAGTCGCCATGTAGTTATGAGGTAGGAGATACCAAACGGAGGAA